CTCTCTCTCACGCACGCTATCCCTCGTCTGCACTGTCCCTCTTCCTTCAAATAGAACGCATGATGTTGTCTTGGGGGGGTACAGTCAACAACGGGGGCTCCAACTTGGCAGGGGTTCGCTGACTTAATCATGCACATACTTACTCTGACTTGTGATACGTCTGATGCACTACTTGAGAGCTACAGGTGCGGGGGTTCACACAGATCCAACACCCATGCTTTTTAGAGGTGGCAGCTTGATCTTTGATCAGCAACGAGAATACCGTTATCATCATCATCAGAGATACACTCATCACCGAGCGCCACATCATCACATAACTGCCACCTCCGCCAGCATCACCCATACTACCATCAAGAGCAAGTGGCACATCATCACACAACTGCTCTCGCACAGCCCCCTCTTCCTCTCTCATTCTCTCTCACTCTCTCTCACTCACTCAGTCCGCTCTCTCTCTCTCTCTCTTTCTCTCTCTCTCTCTCTCTTTCTTCCTCTCACACTCCTCACTTACACAGTGTGCTTGCGAATCCCCCATCATTTCTCCATGATCTAGCCGATTCCTTGTCTGATGAACCTGACCTCGCTTAGGGCCAGGTGCAAATAATTTTGTAAACGGGAAAGCAGAGTTGGGCACGCTCTCTCTCAGTCACATTGTCTTTCTCCTACCCATCTGTCCTCTCTCGCTCCCCTTCTCTCACACACTATCGCCCGCTCTCTGACTGGCTGCTTCACTCACCTGTCCGAGTTTGAAAATGTGAAAAATAACGTGCGGACTCTCTCTCTCCCGTTTCCCTCCATAGCTCTGATGACTCTACCACCTTTTTCCCTGCGCCGTGTGTTCAAGTCTGGATGTACCTGATCATGATTAGGTCCAGGAGGATGGGGTTTTAATAAAAATTAATAATAATATATATTTTTCCTCCAGCTAGCCAGCGCTGTCCCCACTAGTCTATCACCCGCTGGTTTGCTGGCTCTCTTCCTCGCATCTGCCTGTTCTCTGATTCGAGTGCACACCCTCACACACACACACAGTCTCTCACTCCCGCCGTGCACTCCCCTTCTCTCTCACTCTCCCTCTCACACGCGAGAAACCGCCTGAGTGCCGACGCGTCTCCCCCGTGCTTGCAATGCTCCGCAACAGCTGTGCGTCGGGTACGCCTGGCATGCCATCCACCAATCCTCTCCCCTCATCCCCCGTGCAACAGTCTGCGCATCGATGTTTCCACCCTAAGCCCGGTATCGCGGGTACGCCTTGCACACCGTCACCCTTTCTCCTCTGTCCGGCCCTATATTCATTCAGCATCTGCTTGTACAGCCGAGACCATCGGCACCAGGCTCAGCACAGGTTCAATGCGGGTGGTACGTGAGCACCGCCCTCGAGCCAACAGATGGGTGTCGTAGTACCAAGGCCCTTAAGGCCCAGGCACGTCACAATCGGGCCAATTCTCAGTTAATCCGCTGGTCAGTTGCGCTTGAATGTCTGTTCCCACTGCAGTAGCCGATTCCGCTGGTTCCGGGGCCGGACTCAAACAATCATTGAGAAATAGGGACCACGGACCTGCTGCCACATAGGGGCGAGCAACATGCCGTACTATCCCGAACCTGAATAGCCTGCACCGCAATGGTGCCGAGTCTGACCAACCCTGAAGAGCAGAGCTGGGCTGCTGTATCACGCCATCTCAGGACCGTGCAGCCAAGATGTTAAAGTTCCAACCCTGTCATAAACTGCTGTAGTGGCCGCGGCCAGGTAATAAATCGTCGCAGTGTCTCAAACCTGAGTATAAGTCACGGTAACGGCACCGAAGCTGAAACGAGGTATCACGGTAGGAGCGAGTCCGAAATAAACYGATGTTGAACCCGAAGCAACTGTCGTACCGGTTCCGGCCCTGGAAATGAATTACTACAGTGCCCGCAATATGTCTCGGTAATGGCCTCAATCCTGAAACAAACTGTCGTGGTAGCGCCGAACGTGAAATAAGTACCGGTGATGGTACCGATACGGGAATAACTGTTGTCAAGGTCCCGTACTTGAAATAAGCCTCCGTAGTGCTGCCGAGCGTGAAAATGCTATCGTGGGATGTGCCAAACCGACGCCGACCCTGAAATATGGCGGCGCAGCGATTCCGGACCGTGGCTGGCTCCAAACCTGAAATAAACTGTCGTACGGGTTCTGGTCCTGAACATAGATCACCGCTGCATCCCCAGGGTCGCCGTGCCCATACCGAACCAGAAACACGCCGGACTCCGTAGGATGCAGCCACTCCATAACAGTGTAGAATCTCTTTGAACCCCCTTACTCGTACCAAGCCACATCCCATACTCTCTACCCAAGGTAGCACCACCCCATGTGGTCCATGCGACTCCTGCTCTCAGAACACCCCAACTGTGGCAACGTTTGTATTCAGGCAACAGGGAAAGCAACGCAGGATTCCTCGACCATCAGCAGAAGTGAAAACTGTTAGAATCCGGGGAAAATGATCAATCCAGGGTCAGTGCTGACGGCGGGTATTCAAGGCGAAATAAGGCCAATCTCTCAATAGTCGTGGGTTCCCGCCCCTTTCATCGTTTTTTTTATCATTCTTCCTTCTCCTTAATTCTATTGTCGAAAATAGCAAATCAACCGTAAATTCCCCAAAATTAAATTCCGAGAAAGTTTAAATAAATGGCCGAATTTCTTTTGTTTTTTTCCTCTTTTTCCATGTTTAATCTTTTTGTATGTTTTTAATTTCTCTGCCGGGAACACAAAATAACAAGGATATTCCCCCTAGAATCAAATGCCGCGAAAAATAAAGAAATTAAGGGATATTATATTTTTCCTTCCTCCACTTCTGGCCTTGATCCCTTTTCCCCATCTTTAATTGTGGTACTAATATGGGCAAAATTTTGAGGCTTCATTTCGGCCCATGTCGCGCCTAGTGCGGCCAGTCATCTCGTCGTCTTTGAGGGTTGCTCGTAAGGTTCAGCGCGCCCAAAATCAGGGGTGCCCTGAGCTCCCCTAATTTTTGCTGCCTGGTCAACCCGGAGCACCGTCAAAACACGGACTTGTCTTTGAGCCTAAGACCCAAAACCCCAGATTTCAGGCGGCGCACTGCTTGTGGCCGCTTGACAACGTATCTTGAAGTACGTATACCATAGTCTGCACGAAGAGGTCAAGAAGGTTATAGCGACATCAAATGACTGTTGGCCCCGATTTAAAGATGGGATGCAGAGGAAATATCGGTTGGGTGATGGGCTGCTAACAGCGGCAAATCTGGAAGTCGTTAACAGAAATGACTACACCACTGTTGGGACGCTGGCTGAGGACTTAAAAAAAAAACGCGAGAAAGGTACCAGGGATTTCAGAAGAGGAGCAGTGTGCCATCTTCCTCGGATTGTTCAAATCTACGGTGGCCCAGGAGGTCACAAGCAAGGGAGGGGGAGGTGAAAAGCTTTCCTGGGCTATGATTGATAAAGGGGTGCAGGAAGGTGACTTGGATGAGGTCCACCAGTTCCAAATGCGCCAGCACAGGAAGAAGCGCAAGGAACGGGATGCGAGGACTACGGGAGCCCCGGATATGAAGAAGGTTGGATCGGATGTTCTATCAGAGTTGGGGATTACTAAAGACCAGATAGAACAGAGGAAGGTGGTGACCATCGTCCAAGGTCGGGGGAAAGTGGGTATAGAGAGAAAGCCGGGCAGGAAGACTATGGTGAGGAGGAGACGGGATCCCAAGTGCTCACTAAGCCGCAGCGTAAGCAACACAATTTATTGCTAGGAGGGCAAGGCTGTTGGAAAGGGCAGATCCTACAAGCGATTGTAATGCCACCGCCCAATGTCGCTGGCTCGTCTATATAAGCAATGCCTTCACAAATGGAGTCACCATTGCCATATGGATAGTGGCCGCTTTTCTGCCAAATGGCGCCCTGACCCATGTGTAACCCCGATAACTCATGGGGAGGGGGCCAAGTTTCCCCAGGGCAGATGGCGCCCTATTTCGGGCTCGTCGGCGAGTACGGGGTCACCGAGCTTTCCGGCGTTTCAGGGGCAATTTGTAGCCCAGCCTCCACCCACGCAGCAAGCATCGCAGGCTAGCGTAGCGGGAGGAGGGGACCCGGGACAGGGTGGACACGAGAATGGCGACAGAGGCCAAGGTGGGCGAGGGGGCGACGGATGAGGACAAGGGCGGAATGGCGGAGGCCGTGGTGGAGGATGAAATGGTCAAGGAGGTCAGGGCCAAGGCAACCAAAGTGGTCAGGAAGGGGGCTAGGGATATGGAAGGCCCCGCTTTGATTGGCGTAATGTCGTCTGTTGGCATTTTTTGCATTATAGGTCACACCATACGATTTTGCCAACATCGGCGAGATGACAAACTTTCCGGACTAATCTCCACCAATATGGACGGCGACATATACGATAAGTTCCAAAAATATATTGACCCAAAGACTCCGGGTAAGGTCAAGCAAGAGGCCCTAAGGCGAGCAGCGGCAGGGCCCGCACCTCCGACAATGTTCAGATTATGGCAAGAAAGGTAGGACTCGACCGTAAGGATCGAGGAGATTGTGAAGGGGAATGAGGAGGTGAATCAGTGACTAAGGGCAGAGACTATAAAGGAAGAGCCAATAGTCGTTGAATCGGATGATGAGGAATTGAGAGAGATGAGAGAGTCGGTCATAACCATCTTGGAGAAGATGGAGGATTTATTGGGGAAGGTGAGTAGGTACCAAGTTGAAAGAGTTGTGATAAGACCCAAAAGTGGAAGGCCAACCTCCCTAGGGTCTTCCTATACGAATCCGGACATGGATCGGCATCAGGGCAGCAGGGGTATCCTGGGGTTGCGACGGCAGGGTCAGGCCCTAGGTCAGGGATGACCTATAGGCCCCCCACATCGCATGGAAGAGTGCCACAGGCGGCATGAACCAAAGGCCAGAGTAAGGCTGGTACCAGTCAAGTACCTTGCCAGGCGCCTAGTCAGGCACCCCAACCAAGGGAACCTGAGCCTGAACGCAGGGAAAAAGTAGTGAAGGTTCCGAAAGAGAAAGAGGAGGATGACGATGAAGAGGTTGAGAGGCTTCGGCAAGAGGAAGATCGGCAAACGCAGTTAAGGGCCAGGAAGAGAGGGGTTCAGGAGGAAGCCAAGCCGAACCAGCGGGACAGTGTACCAAAAAGGAAGAAATACGTGGTTCGACTAGAAAAGGGCTTTGACGTGAAAAGAATGGTGGACAAGCTTCTAGAAGGTCATGACCTTATGAACCTAAAGGATATTCTGGCATCTGCCCCAAGGCTCCGAGATAGCTTGAGGGGACGACTCTCGCGGAGGTTAGTGCCCAACGTCCATCTGAGTATGATCCTGCCAAGAGAAGTAGAGTGGACGGAAGCAGGAACGAGGATGGACAAAAAATGTGTGGTGCGTGGTTTGGTGGACTTGGTGGTGAGGGACCAGAAGTGTGTTGCGATGGTGGACACGGGCGCCGAGATGAATATCATCCGGGAAAGGGATGCGATTATGTTGGGATTGGAGGTCGACCGCTCGGACCACGGGGTACTGCATGGTGCTAATTGCAAGGTGGTCTTTTGCGGCACGACATCCAATATGATTGTGGAGATTGGCAGAGTGCGGGCGAGGGCTTGCTTTTTTATCATGCCAGACGTCGATCATCCTATACTCTTGGGGAGATCGTTCCTGTGCAGGAAAAAGACTCTGATTTTCAATAACCATGACGGGGCCATGATCCTGCTGATAAGTGATCTGGCCAGTGGAAATTATGAGGTCATCGCCTGCCGGAATACAGGGCAAGGGAGTGGAAGGAATAAGCCTAACCTCGGCTCGTTCACTTATGAGGAATCTGAGAACGAGTGGCAAAGGCTCTGGGAAGCGCCTGAGGAGGAAAGAGGGGCCGAAATGATGTCACTGAGCCTCACTGTTGTGAATAAAGTCATGGAAGTGGTGGCAACACATGATATGTTGGACCCGGCGGGGAATAAGGCATTCAAGGACCAAGTTTTGGAAGACCCTCAGACAGGGGAGGTGAAATTGAGTTATTAGCTTCCCGGGTGGAGAGGAGGCTCTGAGATGGCTCAGACACAAACAACAAGCCGACCTTTTTTAGGGGACCACTTAAGCACGGCTCCCAAAGGTGGTACAAGACGGTAGATAAGAAGTGCTGCCCAGTTTCCATGCTCGTTACTGAAGACGAGGATGACTATTACGAGCGGGAACGAGGATTGATACGGCGCATGCGGGAACAGGCATCAAGGGGTCCATGTCGTATCAAGGGTGAAAATGAAGGGGAGCTGATAATTGGAGAGCCTGATTTCCTTTTACCCTAAGAGAAGGCGCTGATGGTGGGGTTGATAAAAAAAAGGCATCGCGCATACGCCTTTAATGATGATCAGCGTGGGAGGCTGGATGTGGACAAGATCCCGATGATTCAGATCCACACCGTCCCACATGAACCATGGAATCTAAGAGGCGTGCGATATCTTAACCCTGACGAGGAAAAGATGGTGGTGAACTGTCTGGATGACAAAATGCGCACGCATGTTGCTGACTACTCCAGCGGACCGTATGCTTCCCCTTGGTTTTGTTTCGTTAAACCGAATGGGACGATGCGGTGGGTACAGGACTTGCAACTGCTAAATGCCGTAACAGTGCGAGATGCGGAAGGATTGCCAAACGCGGATGCATTGTCAGAGTCATGAGCAGGGAGACCTGTAATCTCGCTTATAGACCTCTATTCTGGATATGACCAATTTCCTGTATACTCGGCGGATAGGCCAGTAGCGGCAATGCATATGCCAAGAGGGTTAATTCATATGAATGTAGCCCTTCAAGGTTGCACCAATGCAGTGGCGATGCTACAAAGACATATGATGAGAGTCATGCAGACGGTTATTCCGCACATCACCCAGCCTTATATTGATGACTTGACGGTCGAAGGTCCGAGAGAGAGAGAGGAATACGAAGTGATGCCTAGAGTAAGGCGTTTCGTCTGAAGACATATTCAAAACCTTGATCGGGTTCTAAGCCTACAGGAGGAATACAACCTTACAACAAGTGACAAAAAATCCAAGCATTGCATGAGGGAAGCCACCATCTTGGGTTTTGTTTGTACTGAGAATGGGCGGAGGCCAGATGTGGAGAAAACAGACAAGATTGTCGAGTGGCCGGTACCCTTCCGCTCAATAACAGATGTGAGGAGCTTCCTCGGGACTTGTGGATTTTGGAGGAGTTTCGTGAAAAACTTTGCATCCGAGACTGAGCATTTGCGAAAGCTGGTGCGTCAAGATCAGGAATGAGTTTGGGATAAGGATCAGGAAGAGACCGTGAAGAGAATAAAGGGGGAATTTAAGGAAGGAGGCTTGGTGTTAGGGGCGCCGAATTACGAGGTTATAGAGGTAAAGTCATTCATCATCGAGACGAACGTTGGACCAACTGCCCTGGGAGGAGTCCTCGTTCAGGCAGATGTTGAAGGAAAGGAGAGACCGCTAAGATTTGAGAGTCGAACACTTAATACGACTGAGAGGAACTACTCCCAGTTTAAAAAGGACACGCTTGCGGTGCTCCATTGCCTAAGGATCTTCCAGAACTATGTCTACCTGTCGACAAGGTGAGCTGGCTCGCAAACTCGAACTCTAACAACATTCGTGACTTTCTCTTGACAAGTAGTTTTTTTTTTCCTTTCGCGTTCGACGAGCCCCATAAACCCCTAAGGAGTCTAGTAGACGGCCAGACGAAACCAATCGGGTCATACACCGGAGTGTTGTCCCTTTGTTAAGTTTTTCATGAACTGCATGACCACGTTCCAGATTTTTGTTACTATTTTCGTGTCACTTTGACTTTCTTCCTCTTCCACTACTCTCCTTTCTTCCTTCTTCTCGTTTTTATCTTATATCTTCCTCTTCCTTCTTCTTGACATTTCGATTGGTTGTTGTCTGGTCACGAAAGCTCTATGTTGCAACGGTCCTTCATAAATAAAACTGTTGGCTGTAAAGCTAATTAAACACACCCTAAGAGTACAACTGTGAGATAGGGTCTCGCTCCACCACTCACCAAATAAGGCAAATAATGAAAACAGATCTTCTGCAAGAGCATCAAAAGATACGCCACATTCAGCGGCCTAGCTCAGTTCGTATAAGGCACGCAAGTGCCATTCAAGAGGTCTTGGGTTCAATTCCCATTGACCTCATGTACCTTCCTCGGCAAGCTTGGCGCCCGCCACCTAAGGATAGGCCGTTGGTCCCCCCGAGTGGCATGTAGCAGAGACTACTCATGTTCATAGGGGGAGGGGACCTGAGGGGAGGCACAACGACTAGCCCATTGAAGAAGCTTGGTCCAGATGCTACCAGCTGACCCCTGGCTGGTATCACCTACCTGCCGGTGGGTGCCATTCCCGCATGTTCCCTCGTTAAAGGCTTGAACACCTACGAATCACCCTGGACGGCGGACAAGCGCGGCCAAGTCCGCGGCCTCGGCCGAGTCCGCGACCCCGCGGACACGTCCGCGCGGCCGCGCGACTTCGCGGACTCGTGGCGGCCGGTGGGGAGGGGGGTTGGGGATTCACGAAGCGCCATGGGGCGGCGCAACCCCAGCCCCACCTTCTCAAGCAAAAAAAAATATATATATATATATATATATTTGGGGGGGGGGGGG